ATATATCTGATCTTTCTCGCTCTGTCACTGTAGTCGCACACGAATATTAAAGGAAGAAGCAGCGCGACTTCATCAAGTAAACTCTCTATCTTCACCAGCGACCATCACTGATCCTCACCGTAACAGTGCATGCGGGGGCGGCCGCAAATAGTTTCCCCGCACACCGCGCGTCCGATTCATTTTTGTCCGTCGACGCGCGCGGAAATCTTTGGAGAGTTTGCGAAGCCTCTCGCTCTACTGCGTTTGCGGCACGATGATGACTAGCTTCATGGGAATGTCTATCGGCACAAAAACCAGCCATGGCGTTCGTCTGGAAATAGCCTTTGAGTGCTGTTTATTGCGGGCCGGTAGCGCAACTTACTGGCGAGCACTGCTGCTCGTGTATAGATGGCGCTGCGTACGCTCAAGTACGGCCAGCGTCTAGACACGAGGCAAGCTCGTTGGGCATGTTCTGTAGAATCGTCTTGCCTTGCTTGATGACTGATGTAACGTTCTGCAAGTCAATGAACACAAGTTACGCCCGATACCGACACGTTGCGAACACGTGTGACGCATAATTATATAGCATCACTCGTCAACCGGCATCTGTACATCTTCTAGTAGCATATCTACTTTCGCGTGTGATATCTTAGGGTTTAAATCGACATTCCCTCAACTCGTTTCTGTGGAGCTATGCGTCACCTTGCTAAAAATGGAAACTACGTCGAAAACCTCAAACATTCCCGTTCGAATCGCACAAATAAAAACCAACACCAACCGTAGTCGCAGTCGTTCTCACGATTATACATCGATGAGTAATGCTGTAAACGTGCCTAATAGAAGCCATGTTGTATGTTGTATGTTGTATGTTGTATGTTGTATGTTGTATGTTGTATGTTTTACATGTTGTATGTTGTATGTTGTATGTTGTATGTTGTATATTGTGTACGTTGTGTGCTATATGATGTACGTGTTGTAAATATAAGAGTGTCTCTTCAACCGTCTCGGAACTAATATCTCAACCCCACAGACATTCTCGGTAATAATCTACAATCCTTTCACTTACAGTGCGTGCAGTTTGCGTCTAACATGCCTGAGAGTTTCAAAGCAAACGTGATATCTGCCCACACTTTGCTATGTACCTTTCCGCGTGCCGCACGATAGTATTGCCGGGCGGGAGTCCAGCAGTTTGCCCATGATCACTGTACGAACTTACTGATTATAATATTGAACCAATATATATATATAGCGGCCAGTGCCCACGGCAATCTCGATTACAAATCAACACGTATATGTTTACATCTAGATTATCACGCACTCAGCGGGTCCGGGGGCTACCTGCTCGTTTCAGTAAGGGACCGAGTATAAATCCGTATCTTCATAGCATATTTATATACATATCCGACGCAAGAAAATGGTCGGCTGCGTTCGGCATCTAGTGCTAGTAAGCGTGTGCTTGTGCGCGCGATTTGCGGCAGTGCTTTCCGTTCGAGTGACTCTACCGAATCTTGGCGCAGTGGAAGGTGTGGCCGTGAACGCTTCAGACGGCACTAAGCTAAACGTGTTTCGTGGAATACCATACGCTGAGCCGCCGATAGAGCACCTACGTTTTACGGTACGTGAGGTTATGCGTTTCGATGCGTAATTTCCGCGTGTTGTTTTAGAAAAAGAATATAATGCGTTGACGTACACAATAGTTTTTGGGTTTTCACGGGTTAGGGGAAATCCACAAATGGGTATCGATAGTATTCGGCACGCTGTCTCAAACATGATGCAATTTAGTGTGAGTAGAATAAGAATCGTTTGCCTAAGAATCTACAGCATAACACGAATAAGGCCTATACAGAATATACACGAGTGAAAATATTGAAAGTATAACCGCGAATTATTATCCCCTATAGATCTACATTTAGATTTCTATCTTGAAAATACCGCGATTTTTCTCAATCGCGCTTTTAATAAAATCCATGCGTGTATTCTATATTTTGTTCATAATATGTACGACTTTTACGTGCGCCGGACGTGCAGAAAACTCAGCCGCATGGTGGATGGGAGGGTACCCTGGATGCGACGAAATTCGGCCACGCCTGTTGGCAACTCGATGGCGTGCCTTTCACATGGACAGGCATCGATGTACAGAGCGAGGATTGCCTAACCCTGAACATCTTTGCACCCGAAGTAAGACACATATACAACCCGCTGTAATATTATACTACGGGGGTAGTAGGGCCTATAGATCCAATCACAAAACCTCATTCGTAGATTTTCCTTTATTTATATATTAATACTGGGTTTAAAAGGTTCATAAAAATAACGAGACCGATTGACTTCCGTATATGTAAGCATGTATGAAGGAGATTACGAAACTTCACGTTACATGTATACAATAAATTCAATGGGCTTAGATATTATATCTCATCACACATTGGCTCATTTCTTCTGCTGATTGTTTGAAGTTGGAGGATACCGAAAACAGATCTCTACCAGTGATGCTATGGATCCATGGAGGGGCTTTTACATTTGATTGGGCAGGAAATCCCGTCTATCATGCACACGAGATAGCAAAGGAAGGTGTGGTGGTCGTGTCAGCAAACTACCGTCTTGGAATATTAGGTATAAACACGGGAACATGGTAGCAATCCAATGTAAACACTGTAATGTTTTTTTTATAATATATTATGCGCCAAATATTCCATTAACGCGATGTAATGATAAATGGCGCGCGTCTGGTACGCATGCGCGACTCAATGGGTGTTGCATGATGGCTTGAGAATTGTCATTTTGTTTGATGAACTCAAAATGCCTAATTACTATTTCTGCACCTCTGACATGCATCATTCTCACGTACAAAATATCAAAGTGCGGAGATTCCTTTTGCTGAATATTCCAACGGGAAATTGGAGAAAATTTCAGTATTACGAAATCGCGCAACTATTCGAACTTCTTTATGCGCAGTCAATTTTACGGCACTGAGTCACAGCTCGCTGCTGCCCAAATGATTTCTACGTTGAATGAGCTGCCATCTAGCGGCAGACATAATACTAATGTCATTGAACACTCGGTTCATCATATAATCAAAATGAACTGTTTAATTTACCTATCATGTGTGTATCAGAGCTCCGGATATGTACCTTGTACCTTGTCTGCTGATGTGGATCATTTATATGATAGGTTTTTTAAGCACTGGGGACGAATTCTCTTTGGGCAACTGGGGCCTGTACGATCAACTAGAGGTAATGAACTGGGTTCAGCAATACATCGGCTACTTCCATGGAGATGCGTCGCACGTGACCATATTTGGAGAGAGTGCTGGAGGAGCATCGGTGGCACTGCATGTCGTCTCTCCCCTGGTTCATGGTGAGAACTCACTTGATAACGTCTATATATATATAAATAGCTAGAAAGAGATAGAAGGGAAGTTACAAGAGAGATAGAGAGAAGGACGAGAGAGCGAGTGAGCGAAAGATAAGGGAGAGCGAAAACGCACGTAAAGAAGAAAGAAAGAAAGATTGAAAGAGTGGCCGCAAAAGGAGTGGAAGAAGACGTAGAAAAAGAAGAAGAAGAAACAGAAGATTGAGCGGAAATAGACCGAGAGAATTAGAGAGATAGACACATAATAGAGAGAGAGAGTGTGTGGGTGAGAGAGAAAGAGAGAGAGAGAGAGAGAGAGAGAGAGAGAGAGAGAGAGA